CCGCAATACCGACCACACCACAGCATTTACACCTGACCTGAAGCACGCACCACCTGACACCGCCAGCCACACTACCAGCACCACAAACACCTTGCACGCAACGCCTAGCACCACAAACCCACACACAGCACACCACCACACTGCACCTGGCCACCTGGAGCACACTGCACGCCACATGACACCGCAAACAAACGACACCACAAGCACCACAAACCCACACTGCACCACAAACACACTGCACCACAACACAACGGACACACTACTAGCAAACCGCTGCAACAGCCACAGAGCACGTTACGCCGCCAACACCACAACCACCTGGGCACGCCAGCACCACAAACACGCTACACCTGACACCTGAACCCCGCACTGCACCTGGCACCACCAGACGCACTGCACCGTAACCGCCGCAACACCACAAAACACTACACCACATCACCTGAGCACACTGCACCACAACACCTGAGCCGCCGCTGCACCTGGGCCACGCACTGCACCTGCCGCACCACCGAACACACTACACCAGCACACTGCACCTGGCACTGCCGTAACACCACACAGCACACTGCACTGCACACATCACCTGGCACGCACTGCACCACCAGCACCACAAGGCACGCTGCACCACCAGCACCACCAGAGCACACTGCACCATAACGCCTGACACCACAAACACACTACACCACATCACCAGAGCCCACTGCACCACAGCACCTGGAGCCGCACTGACACCGCTAGCACGCTGCGCCTGAGCGCACTGCACCTGACACCTGGGCCACCACACCACGTCAGCCTGAGCACGCCTGCACCTGGGCACGCTGCACCTGACACCGCCGAACGCACTGCGCCTGAGCCACACTGCACCCGCAACACCTGGGCACGTTCACGCCATCGGGCGCTACGCCACGTCACCTGGACACTACACCTGGGCCTGCACCTGACACCACAGGACACGCACCTGGGCACGCTGCACCTGACACCTGGAGACGCACTTCACCTGGAGCACGCTGCACCTGGGCACACTGCACAGCACTGGGCACGCCACCTGAGCACGCACGCCTGGCCGCCTGAGCCACGCACTTCACCTGGAGCACGCTGCCTGACACCACCGACACGCTGCTGGAAGCGCACTGCGCCTGACACCTGAGCACGCACTGCACCACACACTGCGCCGCAGCACCGCAAGAACGCACCACAGACACTTTCACGCCTGAACCCCACGCTGCGCCACGACGCCACACCGCACCGCCTGACGCTGCCTGAGCACGCTGCACCTGAACACGCTGCACCACGGCACCTGAACCGCCTGCACCACCAGACACCGCCTGCACCTGGGCCACTGCACCTGACACCACCAGGCACGCACCTGAGCCCGCACCTGGGCCCGCCTGCCTATGCTGCGCCCGAGCACACTGCACCTGGAGCACACTGCACCTGACGCCACTGGGCCGCACCACCTGGGCCGCGCTGCACCCCAGGCGCGCTGCGCCTGTAACTGCAGAGCACAACGCCACCAGCGCCTGGGCACGCTGCACCGTAGGCCTCACACCTGGGCACGCTGCGCACCAGGCACACGTTGCAGCCGCAAGCACCTGGGCCGCACTGCACCTGGACGCACTGCACCATACGCAACAGAGCACTGCGCCTGAGCACACGTTGCACCTGACGCCACCATGCCTGCACCTGGGCCGCACTGCACCGCAGCACCTGAGGCACACTACCTGAAGCCACCGACACCGGAGCACGCTGCACCTGGAGCACGCTGCACCTGGGCCGTTGCACCTGAGCCACTGACACCATGAAGCGCACTGCGTCCGCAGCACGCAGGCACGCTGCCACATGCACGCTGCACCCAAGCACCTGGGCCGCCTGACACCTGGGCCCGCGCTTTCACGCCTGACACCGCACACCCCGCCCGCATGCCTGGCCGCCTGGCACGCTGCGCCACGCGCCTGAGCCTGCTGCACCGCCATGCGCACGAGCACCTGAGCCCGCTGCACCCTGACACCACCAGACACGCTGCACCTGAACACCACCAGGCCACGCTGCACGCCGTGGGCCGCAGCACCTGAGCCGCTGCACCACAAGACGCGTTGCACCTGGCCTGGGTACGCTTTCTGCACCTGAGCCGCGCTGCGCCGCAACGCCTGGGCACGCTGCACCACAGGCCGCACTGCACCTGACACCACAGGCCACCGCTGCGCCGCGACGCACTGCACCTGGCACCACCAAGCCACCTTACACCTGAACACGCTGCGCCACAACACCTGAGCACGCACGCCTGGGCCACACTGCACCTGGAGCACGCTGCACCGGCACCGCTGCGCCTGACACCTGCGACACGCTACCTGCGACACGCCTGCACCGCGACCGCACTGCGCACCTGGCCTGCAGGGCACGCTGCACCTGGGCCACACGCTTTCACCACAGAGCACACTGCGCCTTACTGCACCGCAGCGCACGCACCTGAGCCGCACTGCACCTGGGCCACACTGCACTGCCCTGACACCTGCGACACGCTGCACCTGGGCACGCACTTTCACCTGGGGCACGCTGCGCCTGACACCTGAGCACACTGCACCTCAGACGCACTGCACCACGGCTCCACAGGCCTGACACCCCAGGCACGCTGCGCCACGGCCCTGGGCACGCACGCCTGACGCCACCGACACGCTTTCACCCACAGCACCGCACCCCACTGCACCGTTGACACCGCAACACCTGGGACACTGCACCGCAACGCCACCAACCACACTGCACCGCAACACCACAAACCCGCCTGCACCATAAACACACCAGCACCGCGACGCACTACCACAGAGCACGTTGCACCACAACACCACAAACCTGCACCTGAACGCAGCACCATAAACGCGCACTGCGTCACCAACACCACCAAACCCACGCCTACACCACAAACGCACTGCACCTGACCACACGCCACCACCTGAGCCACACTGCACCTGGGCGCACAAACCGCACACCAGCACCACAAACCCTCACGCCACCAACACCACAAGACACACTGAACGCCACAACACAAAACCACTGCACCACAGACATGCTGCACCACAGACCTGCAACACCACAAACCACTGCACCACAACACCTGGAAGCACACTGCACCACCCGCTGCACCTACACCACAAACCGCACTACACCACAACACCTGAGCACACAGCGCAACACCACAGACACGCTACCACCAGGCACTGCACCTGACACCCAACCTGGCCTGACACCACAAACCGCACTGCACCTGAGCACACTCACCACAACACCACCGACACGCCTGAAACACACCAGCACCTGAGCCACACTGCACCTGAACCTGCTACACCTGACACCTGAGCACGCACTGCACCTAACACACTGCCTACAAAACCACACTGCACCTCAAACACCTGCACCTGGGCCACTACGCCTGACACCACAGGCACGCTCACCACAAACGCACTGCACCACAACACCACAAAGGCCGCCTGACACCACCGACACCACAGGCACGCTGCACCGCCAAACGCACAACCTGCAACAGAGCACACTGCACCACAGGCACACGTTGCGCCTGACACCTGAGCACCTTACACCACAGACACACTGCACCCACCAGCGCCGCCAAACGCACCACCGCAAACTGGCACGCACCACGCACTTCACACCACCAAACCCACCCGCAACACCATAAACACGCTACATCCGCAACACCACAGACACGCTGACACCTGAAACACACTGCACCACAAGGCACTGGAAACGCACTACGCCTGACACCACAAACACCTACACCACAAACACACTGCACCTGACACCTGAACACACTGCCACAAAACACGCACTACCACAAACACACTGCACCTGACACCACAGCCACAGCACCACAAGACACACTACACCAGAACCACTACACCAGACACCACAAACACACAACACCGCAACACCACAAACACACTACACCACGAACACACTGCACCACAACCGCCACCAAGCTTACACTGCACCACAAAGCACGCAACACCACAAACGCACTTCACCTGAACACACTGCACCGCAACACCACAAAGACACGCTGCACCACAAACACGCTGCACCAGAACACATTACACCACAACCTGACACCGACACACTGCACCAGAACACCGACACTACACCTGGGCACGCACTGCACCACAACACCACAAGCACACAAAACGCCACAACACCTGGGCACACTGCACCATCAGCACACAGCACCACCAAACGCTTCACCTGAACACACATTGCACCTGACCACAAACACACTACAGCACAAACGCACTACACCACACACCATAAACGCACTGCACCGTAAACACAGCAACGCCACAAACATGCTACACCTGAACACCAACACCGTAAACCTGCATCCGGCACCTCACACTGAACCTGCCACACCTGGCCACACTACACCACAACACCACAAACCACACTACACCACAAAACCACCATACCACAACACACAAACACACTACACCACAAACACACAACACCACAAACACACTACACCACAACACCACAAACACACTACACCACAAACACACTACACCACGCCCACTACATCTACTGCTGTATTCCGTTGCAATAATCTTCCCTCATCGCACACCCATCACAGCTGCGCCCAATGCAGGCCACACACTCTTTCTTCCACATCCCCTCTAGCACAGTACCACACCCACAGCAACAACCCCTCCGTGGCCACACCCTCTCCCTCCACCACAGCACCACACCCACTGCAACAGCGCCTCCATGCCACACCCCTCCCTCCACCACAGCACTACACCCACCGTAGCAGCGCCCCCATGACCATACCCTCTTTGTACCACAGCACCACACCCACCACAGCAGTGCCCCATGGCCACACTCACCGCAGCGGCGCTCCATGGCCACACCCACTACCACAGCGCCTTGTGGCCACCCAGCAGGGCAGGTGAGGCAGACTATCAGGGCCACAGAATCAACAGTCAACATGAAGACGGTCATTCTGGTAATGTAGGAGCCATAACACCGCCCTGACCTTCTCCTCTCCCCTCCCTCCTGCACGACCACTGACCTCCTGCTGCACCCCTGCTGTTCTGCTGCACGACCACTGACCTGCTGCACGACCACTGACCTGCACGACACTGACCTCCTGGTGCACCCCTGCTGTTCTGCTGCACGACCACTGACCTCCTGCTACACCCCTGCTGTTCTGCTGCACAACCACTGACCTGCTGCACGACCACTGACCTGCTGCACGACCACTGACCTCCTGTGCACCTCTGTTCTGCTGCACGACCACCGACCCCTGCTGTTCTGCTGCACGACCACTGACCTGCTGCACGACCACTGACCTCCTGCTGCACCCTGCTGTACTGCTGCACGACCACTGACCTGCTGCACGACCACTGACCTGCACGACCACTGACCTGCACGACCACTGACCTCCTGCTGCACCCCTGCTGTTCTGCTGCACGACCACTGACCTGCTGCACGACCACTGACTTGCACGACACTGACCTCCTGGTGCACCCCTGCTGTTCTGCTGCACGATCACTGACCTGCTGCGCGACCACTGACCTCCTGGTGCACCCCTCGCAGTTCTGCTGCACGACCACTGACCTCGTGCTGCACCCCTGCTGTTTTGCTACATAGCACTGTCCTGCTGCACCCTTGCTGTTCTACTGCACGGCCACTGATCTGCTGTACAGTGTTCCCTCTCTCAGCGTATAAACTGCTGCACAGACATTGTTTTAGTAAATAACAACCTCTGTGCTGTGCTGCTGTTTCTCCGTTGTATGGCCACTTTACTGCTGCATTTAAACCAAGTTGCTGCACGACCATTGGGGTGTTTTGTACTCAGTGTCTGCTGTACGCCTGCTGTTGTGCTGAAAAAAATAATCGATATCCTGTCGCTTCATCAATGATTTGCTGCACGACTAATGACTTGCTGTGTAACCACTATTTGCTGCATAAACAGTGACTGATTTTCTGCACAACTGCTCTCTCTCACACGACCATCATCCTTGTGCTGTGTCACTGTTTACGAATATATTAAATGTTTTTGGTACATGGACGTTTCTCTGCCCCACAGCTGTTCTCCTCCACCACCAACAGATGTTTTCTTGCTATGTCGTGCTGCTGTTGTTACATGGCCGCCATTCTGCTGTACGACGACCACTTGCTGTACGACCGCCATTCTGTTGTACGACGACCATTCTGCTGTACGACCACCACTGCTGTACGACCACCATTCTGCTGTACGACCACCACTCTGTTGTACGACCACCATTCTGTTGTACGACGACCATTCTGCTGTACGACGCCATTCTGTTGTACGACCACCATTCTGCTGTACGACCACCACTGCTGTGCGACCACCATTCTGCTGTACGACCACCATTCAGCTGTACGAATATTATTCTGTTGTACGACCATCATTCTGTTGTACGACCACCATTCTGCTGCACGACCACTTTGCAGCTGATCAAGCAATGTTCTCCTGTATAACAGTAATTTCTATAGAGGTTCATGTCTAATATCCTGCTGCACGACCTTTATTCCCAGTACGACCTCTGCCCGACCAAACGAAGAGGAATCCACAATACGACCCCCCCCCCGGGTTACACGACATCAGTTTTCCACGACTTTTATTCTGCACGACCACCGATCTGCACGACCACTGTTCTGCACGACCACTGTTCTGCACGACCTCTGCTCTGCTCTGCTTGCTGCCCGGTCTGCGTACAGTGGTGGTGGCTACAGCAGACTTGCCTGGATAAACCTCCGACTGGCTGCTTGCTATCTGCTTGGTCTATCTCTGCTGTCTGATTCATTCGCCTCTTAACCTCCCGATACTGTATGAGTGGCCCAGGAGGCAGCTGACGTATGAACTCACTTAATAATAAGGTTCAGGGGGCCAGAGTCACTAAGCTTCATTCAGTGGATGATTCTCGTAAAGCTGAAGATATGAGAATACGCTTGACTGGTCGATTTAAGCTTTAAAACGCAAAAAAAAAATCGAAATTACACCTGAGACTACCTTAATTAGATACGTTCGCTTAACACAAATTTAAGGTATGAAATTAAATTACCTTAAATGTTGTCTCTTTAAATGATGCTAAGTAAACGTCTCTTGTTAAGGTAATGTCTTTGTTAAATTTTGATATTAATTTTATATTTAATTTGGTTCAAGTTAAATTAAGTAATTTTTCGTATCTTAATTTAAGAGGAAAATTCAACTGATGAACCGTTAAGCCGGATCTAACTTTGCTAAGGAATAAATGTTACATGTTATATGATGTTTTCAACTTTCTTCATTCGACAGCGGACAGGAGAATATGTTTGTTTGGGAGACACGAGGCAGGTTTTTGTTGGTCAATAATGCAGTGAATAAAATCAGCGGTGTGTTGGTTGGACGACTGAAGCGGTCGAGTAGTTCTTGTGGCGATGAACGAAAACTATCATAAATATGCCCAGCTGTTCCTGGTGTCTGCACTACGTCATCTACCTTTCTTTGACCTGACCTAATGGTCTACTTAGATTGTTGTGTTTGTTCTGAGTAAACGAGCAGTTTTATGTTTGTTAACTACACTTGGCAACACTTAACGCTTAATACAAGTTTAAATAATTTATCTAGTGTTTCCTTACATTAATTAGAGGTACAATAAAGAAGACTTATATATATGTATATGACACGGGTATACTGTATGTGTATATATTATATACATTCATACTTTATACCTGTACCGTATTTAACATTCGGCAGGTTTGGTGTGATCACTTGGTTGATCTCTGTAACTAACATGTTCGGGAGCAGACCTGCCTGACGGAGGGCAGGACAGTGGAGGGCGGCAGCCAGAAGGATCGCCTTTATCAGCGCGACAGACAGAAAGCATCTCGTAACACCTCTCTCGTTTGCCACCCCTGTAGCCACGGGCCACTGGGCGTGTTCCTCTCCCTTCACGCCTGCTAGGAAGTGTTGGCCAGGGGTCAAAATGCCATTTATAATGTTAGAGGCGGGGCAGCAGGCGGGTAATGGACCTGACATGGCACTCCATCTTGACCTTTCGTAAATAAGAAGAACCGACCAACTCAGCTAAATGGCGGCGTCGGTTGATGAGCTCACTGATAATGACGCCACAGCGGTGTCCGTGTGATATAATTCATGTTGTACATCAGATAGACACCTCATACCCGCCGAGACGTTAGTAAGATTGATTACAATAATTAATATTAGCTTCCAGACCACACGATACAATTAATCATAAAGAAATAATCAATAGGGACGAAACATAACATAAACACTGCTCTCAGCGGCTCTCGGGAGTCGTTTAGTTTCTCTCATAGATGTAAACAAAATACTGTCAGTCATATGAGAGGTGAAGTATGTTTTGTTGTTGTTCCACAGAAGTTTAATGCCACAGTGCCCGTCCTGAAACGAAGATAATTGGCCAATGTAAAGTAGAAACAGCAGGCGGGGACTCTAACCTTTGCATATATATGTCTTGTCGTCTATGGAGCAGGAAGGTGGCGTAAAGGTTAATCCATTTGTACTTACTTATTGATGTGTTTACTTATTCATTTACTTATCTATCAGTGTTACTTCATACTCACTTAACCTAAAACATAAACACCAGAAGTAAATAAGTGAATAAGAAAAACCTAAAACTGAAGGTCAAACATGGCAGGTCAAGTAGACAGTGATTATATTAACCCAAACCAAACTAAACCTTACTGAATTATCATGCCCGAAGCCCATTAGGATAAGAACCTATTAGCTTTAGAGCCCATTGAGAGTTTTTTACTTATTAGGACCAATTACCAGTCACCGAAGAGTCAACACCTTGGTCCTTAAAATATCGTACTCAAGGGGTTAGAATATCGTACTCAAGGGGTTAGAATATCGTACTCAAGGGTTAGAATATCGTACTCAAGGGGTTAGAATATCGTACTCAAAGGGTTAGAATATCGTACTCAAGGGGTTAAAATATCGTACTCAAGGGGTTAAAATATCGTACTCAAGGGGTTAGAATATCGTACTCAAGGGGTTAGAATATCGTACCTCTGGCTGAAGGTGATGTGAATATATTAGACCGAGAACACCAATAGATTTCTTCCTTTCTTGTTCTTTTACTTAAACATGTGAAATATATACACTTGTTGATATAGTTTCCTAGACGTTTGGTGATATTTGGCATCTACTTGTGGGTCATGTATGTGATTGGTGTCTTATTCAGGTTTTAAAGGAATTCGTGTAACCAGATGCTAAAGTTTTACAGAAGTCTCCATTTCCAACGTGAATCTTATAAGTAGTTGGACCAGATATTGTCATTTATGTCCAGTTCGCGGCTGTACACATGAGGTTCAGCTCTAAAAAAAGTATTAACCTAACCTGACCGAATATAACTTAGCCAAATATCAATTAACCAAACGTAACAACCAAACGTAACTTAACGAAACGTGTCTTCACCAAATGTAATTTAACTAAACATTACCTAACCAAGCACAACTTAACTCAAAACAACTTAACCAAATACAACACAGCTTAATCCTAACGGGGGACCCAATGGTTAAATTAGGTTAAGTTAGTTTGGGGCATATTAGAACCAGGTGCCTATCAGAACCAGGTGCCTATCAGAACCAGGTGCCTATCAGAACCAGGTGCCTATCAGATCTACCATGATAGGTAGATCTACATTATGAGAGTGTCACCTGTCTCTGATTGGTCGTGAGTACAATGGTGAGTGTTGTTGAGGTGTTAAATTAACCTGCCATCAGAGGTTAATTAACTTTGGTGAGTGAGATGTAGCTTGGTCAAGGTAGAAGAGGTCAGTTCAGGTTATGTTAGGTTAGGTTGTGGTAGGTTAAGTTAGGTTAGGTTGTGGTACATTTGGTTAGGCTAGTTTATTTTTGGTTAGGTTAAGTTAGGTTACTTTTGGTTAGGTTGGGTCATGTTACTTTACGTTAGGTTAGGTTGTGTTAGCGGTGTAAGAGTCATGAGT